TACTTTAACAATATTTAGAAACCCTAGGGTGAAGAGTGAAATTATCACCGATCGCGGGGAGTACTCTAAGGGTCCAACAGAGGGATGAAATTGCTTGACAGTCGTACACGAGCGGTGATGACCGCGAGTGGGGAATCTAAACCGTCAAACACGTCTTCAAACACGCGTCGAAATTAAGCATCCTAGATCAACGGCGTGATTATCATTGGGTTGATTTTTCTTAAAATACTATACTCCAATTTTTTAAAATAAGAAATTCGCTCTTTAATTTGATTAATTAACCGAAATTCCGCTTTACCATTAGGATTCAATATTTTTGACCTATTGGGTTATCTGCCTATTCTTTTCAAAGGAAAAAATATTTAAAGGGAAAATAATTTGTGAACAATATTTTTATATTATTTTTTTATATAATTTTGCATATTAATTAAATAATTATTTCGTTTTATTTAATGATAAAATTAATATCAAATTTTATGATTTTTAACATCAAATTAATAACAAAAAATATATTAATTATACCTTAAAATATAAGTTAAAAAATCTTTACTTTATTACTGTACCGTGTCTTTAGAGGAGGTAGCATACGAAACAACGTCTTGATTATTTGTAGAGCCCATACTATTTGAAGCCCATACTATTCCGTGTATGCAATGACCATCATAACCCTATTGAAGAAAAATAAATCAATATCTCTAACAATATTAGAAAGTAGCAAGAGATGTAATTAGGAGATTGGATTTGTAAGAAGTTCGAATTTTGTTATACTTTCAGTTTCAGATAAATTTTTATACTCTTTTTGTTTTAAAATAATAGGTATTTTTTTTTTACTTTTATTTTATAATTAAGAATTTAAAATGAGTTTTATCTTTACTTATTTTATTCTTAAAAAAAATATAAATAAAGATGTCATATTAACCTATTAAAAATTTGAGATAATTTCTATCTTAAGATTTTAAGTTTGATTTTTATCATGTGGACAGTTAATTTAACATTATATTGGTGTTTAATTTTATTTAATGATAATTGATTTACACTATTAGTATATAATGCCGTAGTGGATATGTGATTAACTTTTGTTTTTAGTATCACATCCAACTCAGTCATTTTACATACCATATCACCCTAAATATTCTCTCTCATAACTTCATCCATCCAGAGCCTCTCTGTTTTTTTCACATCCTCTTCTTGTGTTACTTTTCCATCCTTGTAGTTATTTTCCAGAAAATATCTTCCTTGCGATTCCAGCTTTGAGCATTAAAGAAAGGGTATGCTTCTTAATTAATCCCCAGCTATAGATGGCTAAATTACTTTTACTCAAATTTCATTTTACCATATATAAATATATATTTGGCTTTTTGTAATCTTTTGATGAATATATCTTTTCATATCATTATTATTATTATTATTTTTACATTGAACAATCCCTATATATACCATTATATTGATCAAATCAGATAGAAAATGTTAGGTAATTTAATTAGTATCGTTTAAATATATCTTTATTTTAGAACTTTTTATTGATTGTGTTTTCAGCTTTTAATTCATCAAAGCATCTAATTATTCTTAATGAAGATTTGTTTTTAACTAATATAATGATGATTAAATTTTCTTTCCTAACTATTGTCTTATTATCTCTTTCAATTCAATATTTTATTTATTTGACACAGATTTTTAGTTGTTCCATCAAGTTAAGCTTAATTAGTCTCTCTACAAAAATCTGCAACTTTTTAGCTTTGAGCATCGCTGAGAAAGAAAAAGCAACTACAGCATAGCTAATTAAGGTATGTATATATATACTAGTCCTTTCTAATTAATATCTTGACTTCTTCAATTTTTGGAAGATCTAAATCAAACTCTATGGTCTATATTTTGATTGTTTTCTTTACATAATCTTGCTATTTTCAATACCAACATGGGAAACTAATTAAATCTAAACTAATTAAATCTATCCATTAGGATAAGATACTAATTTGACGTTAGTTAAATGAATGTGAGCTATTTAATAGATTTATGAGGTTATTTATTTAAATAAAATTTAAGAATTTAATTGGGAATATGAAAAAAGTTTAACAGTTAAGGTTTTACCTTTAAAAAACTGCCTTTATAAGTATAATTTCAATTTTCACAAAACTTTCATTTTACAAAAACTGGAACAAATAAACATGCAATTAAATTTCTAACTTGTACTTTTTGAAAATATGTTTTTATTGTTTACAACTTTCCTAATCCTTGTTGAAACATTTTTTAATTTTCTCTCAAAGTAACTTCACCAGGGGAGCTCTTTCCTTCTGAATCATCAGGGTTATCAATTGATATAATAAATGAAAAAATGAGATCGGGGAAAAGTTAAAGATTGTTTGAAATAATGCTTTGTTTCTTGGTCTTCCACGTTGGATGGTGATAATGCTTCCTGATTTTTTCATATATAAAGAAGAAGAATTACACTTTATATTTGTAATTAAAAATATCTAATTATATTATTAAATATAGGTTAAACCCCTATTTTGGTCCCTGAACTATAGTACGGATCCCTGATTTGGTCCATGAACTAAAGAAATCCCTAATTTGGTACTTGAACTATTGTACGGACCCCTGAGTTGGTCCCTAAACTATTGTACGGACCCCCGAGTTAGTCCCTAAACTATTATACGGATCCCCAATTTGGTCCCTACTATTTACCAATTTAGCCCCAACTTGGTCCTTCTGTCAAATAATAGCTCAGGGACCAAATTGGGGCGAAATTGTAAACAGTAAGGACCAAATTGGGGGTCCATACAATAGTTCAAGGATCAACTTATGCCAAATTATAAACAGTGGGGACCAAATCGGGGGTCCGTACAATAGTTTAGGGACCAAATCAAGGATTTCTTTAGTTCAAGGACCAAATCGAGAGTCTGTACAATAGTTCAGGGACCAAAATGGGGATTTAACCTTAAATATATTATTGATATTTTTGGTGCTAATAAA